GATTTCTGCATTCCTCTAAAGACATTTAGTTTTATGATGTTTGTTAAAAGGAAGTCATTTATTTTAGTCTCAACAAAATCTGCCACCCATGTTTGAGTTCATTAATCACCGAGAAGTGACCAAATTAAGAAAGTAATCAATCTTGCTGTAGCAGCAGTCTTTGACATTATTGTTGAGTTTAATTTCATTTTCTAGGAAACTTCAAGTAAATAAGTTTCTTCTGACAATTACTTTTTGCAAGTGTTTCTAAAGGATTTGGACATTATCTTGTTAGGTAAAAATATAATACAATAATAACAATCTGCATTACTCAACCATCCATCTCAAAGTTTGCTCTTTATAGCATACTGATGTACACTATAAGCTAAGAGTAGGTGATTTACAGACACCTCCAGACTGATACAGGTAATCATTTTTTGGTGTTATCGAATCTGAATTTCATGTAAGAGAATGGGATTGCCTGGACTGAGTTTCTTGTGAGCTTTGTCCTGTAATTATCCTTTGTGATAAATATGCATTTTTTCTCATGATATCCGTCATGTCTCTTTGAAATTAGGAAATAGAGACCGCAACACAAATATTAATCAACATATTTCAAATATCTTTCCACATATGAGCAATGTCTCCACCATTTTATCTCACAGGCCTGCATGGCACAATCAGCTCTTATAATTAGTAACCTATAAATATTCATGCATTATTTATTGAGTTAAAATAAGCACAGCAATTTCCATTATTCCATTGATATTAAGAATGTCATTTTCATTCAGTTGTTTTTCTCCTTAGCTTCAGACACTTGGAAATCATCTTCTGATTTTACCTGCTAGCTTCAGACATCCAATTGCTAGTTCTTTTGGGAAAAAAAGCATTTTAAATTGATCTCTTAAACTTTTTACTCTAAAAAATTATCTGCTGACCTGACAGCAAATATAATAGTGTTGTTTTTAAATAATAACCCCTTTCAGTTTTAAATCTGCATTTTATTATTGATCATTTTCTTGAGGACAAGAAAGTTCATTATAGTATATATTAAATGTTGTATACAGTATCACAAAAGGAAAAATATTAGAATGTACATAATAAAATATAATGTTAAAAAATTCATAGAGCCTGCGTTTATGAGATTAAACTCTGCTATTGTTACCGGGAGAGGGTCCTGACTGCAAGTTGTCCGGGTTCTTGACGTTTTAAATAAAGAATTGGACAAAATGCACAGCAAAGCTAGGAAAGAACAAAGCAAGGAAAGCAGAAATTTCCTGAAAGTGAAAGTACACTCCACAGTGTGAGAGCTGGCCGAGTAGTGACCCAAGGGCCTGGGATACAGAATCTTCTCTGGTCCAAATACCCCCTAGATGCTTCCCATTGACCACTTGGTGTTTACTCCATGTAAATGAAATGGTGGCATGCAATTCATCTGACTGGTTGCTGTCTGCAACCAATCAGAGGCTGAGATGAAGTTACAAAGTTACACTCCTATGCAAGTTTCTGGTTGGGAAAAGCAACCAATCAGAGGTACTTTCAATTATCCCTCTGCTAGGTGAGGGTTTGCTAAGGGAGTAGCACCTGGTCCTTTTGTTACTTATGCATGAAAAATTAGGGTTTTTCTTTCAATTTAGTTCTAGGAAGTCAGCATGAAATGGCCTTATATTCCCTGCCTCCAAACCCTATTCCCCTGCCTCATTATGGTGACATGAAACCAGATATATCTGGTTGGTCACGCATTCTCAACAGGGAGTAAAATCCCCTTCCAAGGAGTAAAAATGTGCTCTTAGTTGGGGGGCTAGAAAATTCTCACTCTTTTATATAATGCAGAGGTTGCTATGCAAACCAAATAAAAAGTAGAGTACATAAACGAATATATAGTAAGTCAGAGGTCTCAAAACTCCGTGAATGGTGATTAAGAACAAAATCTCTAGAAGACTTCTTAGAAGATGTGATTTTAAAAAATGGGAACCACTGCTTTGGGGTATTTGTAAAAAGAAAGAAATATTTCTCTTCTTTTCTATGCATTGTTTCTAAGTTTTCTTAAAGTAATGCAAAAAAATGAAAAGTTTATTATAGTCTTACAAATTTTGCCTTAACTCTTAAAAAGTTAAGTTTTAACTTATAGGTACTCACAAATGGTGGAATGCACTGCAGAATACGAAGCAGAAGAAGGGTCCCAGTGAGTCCTTCTTGGTGCAGGAGCTGCAGACTGAGGGGGCCAAGGCAGTGGAGGGCTGTCAGGCTAAGAGTGATATATGCTTTGGATTTGCAGAAAGCCCCCAGATGGGACACTTGCTCAGGTGACTTTGGTGGGAGCCCTGCAGGCAACTAGGTTCTGCAGAGAGCCCAGTTGCCTTCTCCCTTTTAGATGGCTCCCAGCATGCCCCTAGTGAATTTCACCCTTTCCAGCTACCACCAAGGTTGAGTTTACTGAAATAATCTGGAGCTGCACATTGAGAATTAGTTCCTAGAACTTGCCTCCACTGCTTCTATTTTGGTTCTTCTGAATTATTATATTCCCCTGGATTTAAATCCTATACCAAACCCCATGACCTACACTGAAATAACTAGTGACCATTTAAACTAATTTGATTTTCCTCATCACCTTCTTTAAATCCTAACATAGTTCTTCTCTATGGCAGGAAAACCCATACTTTCAAGTAAGTTAGGCATATTTTTATGTGCATTGTTTTTCAGTAAAATGTTACCTATCACTTTGGCATTAATATTTCAGAGAGCTAGAGTGTTGACTTGTAAAAGTTAACAATGTTCAAAGTAAGGCATTTGATTTCAAGAGAATCTGGAATCAGGAAATCTAATAGGAAAATCAGTGAAAATATAGATATTTAAACATAATAGTTTGCTAAATCTTTTTGTTGTTGTTGTTGTTGTTGTTTTTTTTTTTTTTTTTTTTTTTTTTTTTTTTTTTTTTTTGAGACGGAGTTTCGCTCTTGTTACCCAGGCTGGAGTGCAATGGCACGATCTCGGCTCACTGCAACCTCCGCCTCCTGGGTTCAGGCAGTTCTCCTGCCTCAGCCTCCTGAGTAGCTGGGATTACAGGCACACGCCACCATGCCCAGCTAATTTTTTGTAGTTTTAATAGAGACGGGGTTTCACCATGTTGACCAGGATGGTCTCGATCTCTTGACCTCGTGATCCACCCGCCTCGGCCTCCCAAAGTGCTGGGATTACAAGCGTGAGCCACCGCGCCCGGCCTAGTTTGCTAAATCTTATAGTGCCTATTAGTGTCTTTCAAAAGTATATCGTTTTCCCACAGAGAAAATCTTAATGCAAACAGATCCAGCTGCATATTTTACGATAAATTATGCTCATTTAAACAGTTCATTCCATCTGTCCTTTTGATAAATCCAGTTAGTAAAGTGATTAATTGTATTTATACATAATTAGACAATCTATTAGAATATCTTTCAGGCATTTATTAGTAGTGTTCTTAAAGAAAAAACACTTTGAAATGGATCATCACTTTTTTTTTTTTTTTTTTTTTTGGAATGAAAGCCTTAGTCCAAAAATACAGGTGAAGGGAGAGAAGATGTCATGGGTGCCTATTACTGCTTCCGCTGCTAATGCAGCAACAAGGTCAGGCATGTGGGTGAGACCTTCATTACATCTCATTTTCAGTTTTGCCTGAGATTCCCTAGTATCTACAGGAGAGAGAACAGTTTCAGGTCTTCCCTATATCATTGCAAGGTCAGAACTAAGAAGCCTGTGCTAGAGAGGAACTACCTCTGGCAGGACTTGCAGCAAAGTCTGAATCCTCTGGTCCCCTGAGGCCATTGCTCAGGGCAGACAGCATTTCATTTCCTACAGAGGAGCTGAACCTGCCTGCCTGCTGCCTGTGGTCCAGCAGCAGTCCACAGAATCCTGTGAATCTCAATGGGCCATGAAGGGAACCTCACTAGAGACTGAACTACTCCAGGCAGAGAAGAGAGTCAATAAATGACTCTACTAGTCCCTGGGAAATCCTGTATTTTAAACTTGGTCAACTATTTGCTTATTTCTTTCCCCCATCATTAATGTGGCTTCAGACGTTCAGCAAAGGAGCTACGGCTTTTCAGGTATTTCACCTCCATAAACTATGGTGCCCTCTACTACCCCTCATTTGCCATGGATTAAGATAGCATAAAAGACAAATGGCAATTACATCAAAAACATATATCCATGGTGAAGGAAAGAAAAGTTAATTCCCACACAAAGGGAGGACCCAGAAACTAAGGATGAAACTCAGAGGATCAAAACAAATGTCTAGTATGGGGATTTCCCAAGCAAGTAGAATTGACAGGAGAGAGAATCGTTTGTTGCTGTTGTTGTTTTAATGTCTCAAGGAAAAGTAAGTAGGGCACAAAGTAAAATTTCTGTAGCTTCAAATAAAAATGTCCAAAAAATGGGCTTAAAAAGGACTTAGTCATTGAGAGCTAGTTTTTAATGTGGGGATGATGTGGGGAAAAATCACTCAAAAAGTGGTAGAGATAATAATAGTAAGGGCAAAGTAAAATACCCTACCACACAGGTATGAATAGTAGGAGTCCCTGAAGAAAAAGAGGGAACAGATAGAAGAAACGTTATCATAAACAACAGAAGAAAGCTTTCCTAAATGAAAGGAAACCGTAAGTCTGCAGACTGAAAGAGCTCATTAAATTTTAGCAAGATTAAATGAAAATAGATTCTTACTCATGTCCTGGCGACCTTCCTTGGCTGCGAGCATAAAGAAAAAACCTCTTTCCGCCTCTGAACAGGCATAAGTAACCTGAAAAAGTAAGATAAATGTACTGTGTAATGGATGACTCATCTACAATATTGGAAAATAGGAGGTAGTGAATCAATATACACGGACTACAGAGAACAGAACTGCAACTCAAAAATCTGTACACAGACAAAATATTCATCTGTCATTGTATATGATAGTGACAAAAATTCATACTCTGACAAATATATGACATAATTTAGAATAAATTATAGTTGTGAACTTCAATTTCAATGTTTCTTTGTTTCTCTAGGTGGCTTTTACAGTACTTTTTGATTTGGAAGCACTTCTGAAGATATGGTGTTTGGGATTTACTGGATATATTAGCTCATCTCTCCATAAATTCGAACTACTACTTGTAATTGGAACTACTCTTCACGTATATCCAGATCTTTACCATTCACAATTCACATACTTTCAGGTAATATATATAATGCCTATTTGTCTTTAGAAATTTTATTTCCAGAGTAAATACCTCTCCCATTATTTTAACAATCACACAGAATTATATATAATATATATATGGTAAGTATGAACTTGAGAGAGGCACAATGACATTTTAAATATTAGAAATAGTGCATTCACAAATTGTAACAATTGCTTTTTAAAACTACTGAAAATTCTCAGGAACAATGTAGATATTTTACTTACTTTTCCTAAATTAGCAGTATATGGATACACATATTTTTACATATGGATAATGTATACCCATACTTACGTATCAAATTTTAAACTACATAAGATGGTGGCACAAACTTTAAAGAGCAGGAAACATTAATTTAATCCCAAGTGTATATCTTCCTTGCCAATAAGCCTGGGTGTTTGCTCAACAATGATTTGCCATGAAAATATTAAAGGTTTATAAAACTTACCTTTACAGATTATAATCAGTCATACAGTATTATTTGTAAATGCCTGTTACTTTCTTTGTGATGGTTAAATAATGTCACTTAAAATTCTTATTTAATTTATAATAATTGGATATATTTTTTCAATGTGGTATATTGAATCACATTGCTTTCTAATTATGCAACAAACAGTAGTTACGTTCCTTGTAATTATTGAATATAGCAACATTCTCATTGTCCTGGTAAATACTTAGTCAAAATGATAAAATAGGTATACATGGTATTCTAGTCAAAAGCACCTCAAATATAGTTATTTTCCTGATTCAAACTTGGTCATTTATATAATTTATAACAGAAACACCTGAATGTGCATTGACTGTTTTATAAATAGATATTGTTAAATAGTTGGGAAATAAAGTGACAGTAGAATTTTAAAGAAGTAATTGTGAGAAACAGGACTCTCACCCCATAGGAAACAGAACATTCATGGCAACTTCATTGATTTTATTTATTAGTAATTCCAAAGTATTATTTTCAGAACAATATTCACTTTAGCTGCCAGATCACATGTCACTAGACACTTTTAGCACCCGGGGGAAAGGACATGCAAATATAATTCACAAAAAGTAAAAAGCAAAACCCCCCATAAACCCAGGCAAAAAGTTGAGCCCTTGTAATCACAGCTAAGCATATTGAAACCACAGAGGGTTTTCATGGTTCAAGCGCTCACTTCCCTCAGCATCTGTGGTTGTAAATCTCTCTTCATTTGCTGAGTTATATCCTGAAGCTTGGCTATCATAAGTGACACAGCTGGGGCAAGAGATATACATGTTTAAAATCCTTGATACCAAATGTGCTTTCCAAACATCCATGTGATTATATGCTCTTGTGCACTGCTATCTAGATTCACAAAGTGGTCATGGCCATTGAGTGCCTACCTTAGGGCATCATTGCACATAATTGGAGAGAATATGCTTTAGATCAAAACGAGATACCTTTTTTACAAAGCTATTAAAGTAACTAACCCAATAAAGAAAATTGGTGTTGCCTATTTCAGCACAGGTACAGTATAAAATATATTGAGGGCCTTAATATTGCTATGGCCTCGGACATAACATTTTTCAGTAAAAAGTTGGAAAAGATCAAAATTTTGTGTGCAAAATATTTATTATAGAATGGCTATTGAGAGAAAAAATGGAAACTATTTCAATAACATTGGAGGAATAGATTAATAAATCATAACAGATTTTACCATAAAATTATACTTATGAGTTTTTTATAACTTAGAAATATGACTGTTTTATTTAAATGATAAACAGTATACATTACATACATAACTACATATATGTATACATTCATTATATATGTATGTAAAATACCTATAAAATGGAAGAAAATGAGTAGAGAGAAATCAACTTATTACAAATTATTAATCATCTCTAGTTTCCTACTCTGGTCATTATATCTGATTTTTTTTCCTACTAGTCTGTTTTTTACAAAATATCTAAAATTAGCCTGTAAGACTATAAACATTTTATAGATAGATAATTGATTGATTGATTGATCGATTGGAAGTTAAATCATAGTGAAGTTTGCAATTTCAGATTATTCTGTAATTGGTTCTGTTTAATTTATGTTAATGATTAAATGGTTTTCATTTGTATCTCTCTATACATGGCCATATTTATCTTTTTCTAATGTATTAATAATGAAAAACAATGATGTTAATTAATTTGTAGCTAAAAGGTGAACCTCTTGAGAAACTTAGGTGTCACAAGGATTTTTGCAAATTTGAGTGTGGAGACCCCACTGTAGCAGACAGTGGCTCTTTATATAAGGGCCCACACTGGTCTCCCCATTGGTCCTCACACTTCTCATTTCAATCAACCATGCTTTACTGTGTTGGCAACAAGTCCCTCCTTAGACAACTTCATATTTCTCACATTTATTTTATTTTTAACTTATTTATTATACTTTAAGTTCTGGGGTACATGTGCAGAACGTGCAGCTTTGTTGCATAGATATACACGTGCCATGGTGGTTTGCTGCATCCATCACCACGTCATCTACATTAAGTATTTCTCCTAATGCTATCCCTCCCCAATCCCCCCACCCCCAGCAGACCCCAGTGTGGGTATGTGATATTCCCCTCTCTGTGTCCATGTGTTCTCATTGTTCAACTCCCACTTATGAGTGAGAACATGCTGTGTCCGGTTTTCTATACCTGTGTTAGTTTGCTGAGAATGATGGTTTCCAGCTTCATCCATGTTCCTGCAACGGACATGAACTCATCATTTTTTATGGCTGCATAGTATTCCATGGTGTATATGTGCCACATTTTCTCCCATCAAAAAGTGGGTGAAGGATATGAAAAGACACTTTTCAAAAGAAGACATTTATGCAGCCAACAAACATATGAAAAAAATTTCATCATCACTGGTCATTAGAGAAATGCCAATCAAAACCACTTTGAGATACCATCTCACGCCAGTTACAATGACAATCATTAAAAAAATCAGGAGACAACAGATGCCAGAGAGGATTCAAAGAAATAGGAATGCTTTCTCACATTTAAATAAAGTTTAGTACAAAGTAGCTTCCTTTCAAATATTAGTTATCTGTTAGACTAATTACTGATGTTGTTTATGTATTTATTCAAGTGATATTTACTGAGCTTCTACTCTGTGTCAGCCACTGTTCCAGATACTGAAGATGGAGCAGCGAGCAAAGCAGAAAGGCTTTCCATTTTATTAAGCTTAAATTCTAAAGGGCAAACAGTTCACAAAGAAGTACACAACGGAATGTAGAGTACAAGTGCTGGAAACGTCTTCAGGAAGAAGTGTGCAGGGTAAAAAGAATAGAGATTGTGCAGTAGGGTGCTATTGTAGATTAGTTGTTCATAGAAGCCCTCTCTGAAGAGGTGAGGTTTGCACAGAGACTGAATGAAATGAAGGAGCAAACCTTAAGGCTATCCGAGGGGAAGCATTCCGGGTCGGTCGAGAGAATCACATTGCACGTGTCCTGAGGTGGGTGCCTGATTGATGTGTTCAAGACCACATACCTAGTAAGTGATGGAGGCGAAACTTCTTCCCAAAACCTTGAATTTCAGAGTTTATATTCCTAACTATGCAGTTTCTACAGCATCTCACTACAAATCAACAGTGATTTTTAAGAGAAGGACTCAGAAATGTGACCAGGAAAATGTGTTTTGGAGACAACCACAAAATGTTCTGAAGAGCTTATCTTTGAGAGTATGGTTTACTTTATGTCATATCTATGGGAACACAAAATCAAAAAGCTTCATAGGGTAGATAGAATGAAAGGCCTACTGATCCCTGAATAAATGAAAAGGCACAATTAGACTCACCGATGAGGATTTTCCTTTCTAGGAATTCAGGTTTAACCCTTTGAAAATGCTGATCAAATCACCAATGTGGAAGTTGTATTAAATAGTTCCACTTTTTTCAAGCTAATGAAATATTAGTTCATTAAAATTGCACAGATGTGCAGAGGCTGTTTTTATTAGAATTTGGGATGGGCTTCAAAATCAATCTTTCAGTTATGATTTTAATACAACTCAGGAATACTACTGAAATTTGATCTCTGAGCTGGTAATTGATCCTGTAAACTTGTCTAGATTCAGCCATTTACAGTTAGGTACTGAATTATTTATGTCTGAGAATAGACAAATCTGATAAAAAATGTGAAATCTTTCCAGATTATTATTCTGGATATTAATATAAATGTTAATACTTTAATAGTTTGTATGATAAAGTCTGTTTGCTTCTTCTTTATAAAGATTATCTGAGAGCAATTTGTTCTGATTTAGAAATGTATGTTAAGAATTACAGCAGGATAAACTGGTAGCTTCACCCTGTAGTATGATGCTTAATCTGAACAACATAATTTCCGACATGCATTTTTTTCTTTACATATTATGTTAAAAATTTCAAATTAGCATGAAGGAAATGGGCATTTCACAACTTTAGTCATTTTTTTCAATTGTTTTACTTGTGTGCTATAAACCATATCATTTACATTCTGCAGACAATAGGAATAATAAGACTGACCATTGATATTTCCTATTAAATCAAAGTAAATGCAGTAAATGTGATTTCAGGTATGGCAAAATTCAGAGGCTAATATGACATCGTGGGGGTCAGTCTGTCTTCACCTGCCTTTATTCTGTTGGTGTTTTCTTGTCATTCTTTTTTTTCCTTTTTGAGAAGGAGTATTGCTCTGGGACTCAAGCTGGAGTGCAGTGGCATGATCTCAGCTCACTGCAACCTCCACCTCCTGGGTTCAAGTGAGTCTCCTGCCACAGCCTCCAAAATAGATGGTACTACAGGCGCATGCCACCATGCCCAGCTAATTTTTTGCATTTTTAGTAGAGACGGGGTTTCACCGTGTTAGCCAGGGTGACCTTGATCTCCTGACCTTGTGATCTGCCTGCCTTGGCCTCCCAAAGTGCTGAGATTACAGTCATGAGCCACCGCACCCAGCCTGTTGGTGTCATTCTTAAGCTGGCTTTCTCCGTGTGGAGGCAAAGGTGGCTCCCAGGAGCTTATGGTTTGCATGACTCTTACGGCAGGTGCCCTTTAGGGATTAAAAAATAGAACATTTCTTATTAAAGACATCCAGTAAAAGCCCCGAGGATGACTCAGATGATTGTGAATACTCTGGCCAGACCTGGATCATGAGGGGTAGGGAGTCCCTCTTGCACTTCTGTACTAAGAGTGGGGTAGGAATGATTTGCCAAAGGAAAATCATGCAGAGTTGAAGCTAGAGGCACTGGAAAGCCAAAGACAAATATGTTATTTTACACATGTAAAAATTAAAATCTAGTTTTTAAAATGCATTTTCTGTTTCTTACTGTATTGCAAACACACTATTCATCTTTCACAGACAACGCAATCTCTTACTGACATCAAATAATCTTGACCAATCATTGTATAAACTATATTTCATTTATGCCAAGAATGCAATTTTCTTAATATATCTGAATTTCAGGGTCGTTACAATCAGTGGTGTGTTATACTTTAATTGGCAGCATTTTTTCTTTCTTAGAGCTATATATAAAATTCATGACATCTTAGACTTAATGCAAAGTTGAATTTTTCACACTATATACTTCAGCTTTTAATAATATACCAATTTATACATATTAATCATAGAAATATGTCTTTGAAAGCTGTGTATTGGTGTTATACTCTGTTTGTAATAGTAGCCATTGAATTGTATTTGTCCAACACAAAGTTTGGCACATAGTAATCAATCAATATTTGTTAAACAAATGAGTGAATAGATTTGTAATTAATTACATGTTTTTTTGCAAATGTATGTATGCAAAACATCTACATGTAGCTGCATATATTTAAATGTATATTTGTGTGTAGTATATACATTGTATATACATTGTCATGCATCACTTAACAGCAAAGATACGTTCTAAGATATGCAATGTTAGGCAATTTTGTTGTGCAATTATAGAGTTTACTTACACAAACCTAGATGTATACCCTACTATATACCTAGGCTATATGGTATGGCCTATTGCTCCTAGGCTACAAACCTGTACAGGGTACGGCTTCATTGAATACTGTAGGCAATTGTCGTGCAATGGTATTTGTGTATCTAAACATAGATAAATATAGAAAAGGAACAGTCTCAGAGGACCCCCATCCTATATGTGGCCCATACTTGACTCAAAAGTCATTATGCAATGCATAACTAAAATATATGTAAATATATACACACACATATATGTATAGAATAGTGAAGTGCATATAACAAAGAATCCAAAAATACGAAGCTTACATAAGACAGAATTTTGTTTCTCAGCAGCAGTTGGTGGGTATGCAGGAAAAGCACGTGGCTGTGCCCCTCATGATCACCCAGCCTGCTGGCTTGGACAACACCTGTTATACTCTACGCAGGCCTTCTATTTCTGGTCCAAAGGGGCTACTCTATTTGTTTCCATTTCCAGGCAAGAGGATGGTATTTTAAAAAGGATCCAGGGAAGGTTTAACTTAATGCATTGAAACTTAGGTGAATCATATCCTCTCACATTCCGTAGGTCTGAACCCAGTCCACTTGAGATACCCAGCTGCAAGGGAGACTGTCATGTGTAGGCTGTAACCCAGGCAGTCACTTGCGAGGTTAAAGTCTGGAAAGTTCTTTTTTTAAAGGAAGAAGGAGAAAATGGATATTGGGGTGGTAATCTCAGTAAGAAGTAAAGATTCTTGACAAAAGTTTGCTTCTTTTTCCATTTCCTTATGATTTTCTAATAATACCTAGAAACATATTTTATGAGGCAATGAATATAACTAATACAGGTTGAGTATCTGTATCCCAAATGCTTGGGACCAGAAGTGTTTTGGCTTTCAATGTTTGTCAGATTTTGGAATATTTGTATATATATATATGCATAAGAAATATCCTGGGAATGGGACCCACGTCTAAATACAAAACTTGTTTATGTTTTATAAACACCTCAAATACATTCCCTGGAGGTAGTTGTATACAATATTCTTAATAGTTTTTTATGCATGAAACAAAGTTTGTATACATTGAAACATCATAAAAACAAAGGTGTCGGGTGTAGAATTTTTCACTTGTGGCCTCATATCAGCGCTCAAAAAGCTTCAAATTTTGGAGCATTTTGTGTTTTGAATTTTCAGATTAGGAATGCTCAACTTGTATTGAATTAAAGGATTCCTTGCATATTTGAACATTAGAGAAATATTAATTTTATTTCAACAATGTGTACTAGTTAATATTTTGTGCAGCTATATAACATATTAAAACAGTTAAAACAGTTCATCCATTCATTTGAGATTTATTGAGTTCTTTTTACATGGCAGGCACTGAGCTAGACCAATAACTTGGTTACTATATTATTTTTAGTCACTAGATGTCCAAATGGAGAGGTATGATTTTTATAAAGCACTATAAAAATGACATTTTAGTATGAACATATTTAAGATTCAGTGTCAATAAATGATCATTGTGTAAATAAATGTTTCTCTCTCCCATGATAGGTTCTCCGAGTAGTTCGGCTGATTAAGATTTCACCTGCATTAGAAGACTTTGTGTACAAGATATTCGGACCTGGAAAAAAGCTTGGGAGTTTGGTCGTATTTACTGCCAGCCTCTTGATTGTTATGTCAGCAATTAGTTTGCAGATGTTCTGCTTTGTCGAAGAACTGGACAGATTTACAACGTTTCCAAGGGTAAGAATTTTAAAAATGCAGTAAGTTAAATCCATTGTTCTTATTTTAGTAATAATGATTAACATCAAAGTAATTTCACTTTAGCAGTAGCTCAGAAGTATTGTCCTATTTTTGATAACTTGGGATAATTAGATTTTAATATTTAAAATTGTCTTTTCAGCAGGGTGCAGATGTTTGAGCCCATTTGCAGCATTATCAGATTATATATCAATTCTAAAATTCTGGAAATAATCAAATAGAGTTAGATACTGAAACCTGAAAGCCAGGATTCTTAGCACCTATAAGTTAAAATACATAATTTTAAAATGAAGTTTGCATTTTTGTGTTCAAGAGAGTTAATATTTTAATGTTTTATAGTTTACATATTTTTATGTTGGGCAAAATCTAGAAGGAAGCTTTTGATTTTCAATAAAGTAAAATTCATTGGTTCTTCAGACTTGAAATGTCTTTCAGCTTTCTCATTAGAATTCACTTAGGCTAAAAAGGAAGTTAGAAATCAAGTGATCCATAAACAAAACTTATGTAGGAGCTAACAGCTCCTAACCAGAAGGACCTTGAAATTTAACTCCATGTGGACTTAGAAGAATAAAAAAATACAATGACCAAGACAGAGAATGTATATATTTTTACCCTAAGTTAAAATAGTAAGGCCAATTATATGGTATATTAGTCCATTCTCACACTGCTGATAAAGACATACATGAAGAAATTGTGTAATTTGTAAAGAAAAAGAGGTTTAATGGACTCAACATTCCACGTGGCTGGGGAGGTCTCACAATCATGGTGGAAGGCAAAAGGCACATCTTACTTGGTGGCATGCAGGAGAGAATAAGAACCAAGCGAAAGGGGAAACCTCTTATTAAACCATCAGATCTCATGAGACGTATTCACTACCAGGAGATCAGTATGGGGGAAGCCACCCCCATGATTCAATTATCTCCCACTTGGTTCCTTCCACAACACATGGAAATTATGGGAGCTATAATTCAAGATGACATTTGGGTGGGGACATAGCCAAACCACATCATATGAAAACAATAATATTGGGGTGAAAACAGCATATCTTTTTAAAATTAAGCTTTGACAGCAAAAGGGTCTATATTTTTAATAGATAGCTTAGCTTTACTCTAGGGATTTTTCTTTTAATCCTGTGCTAAATTTACTATTTGAGCTACCAGTGTTGGAATTCATTCCTTTATAATGCAAATTCTTCATTCATGTGCTGCCAACCATTTGTCCACTGTCAGGCTGTGGGTACTGCCTTCTCCCACCTCTGCAGGAACCTTTGCCATCATCCTCCTCATCACTCACCTCCAAACTCACCATCTACTTGCCTTCTCTCATCAGCATTTGAACAGTGTATGTAAATGCACCTGAAAGCAATAACTCAAGCAAACCCTGAGAATGACCCTTCTTGACAGACACATCTGAATGTGTGTTTTGAGCTAGGGAATCTGGGAATGACCTTTAAAGACTCTCTAAAGTGTCTGGTCATTTAGGCGATCATGGGGACATCCGTTCTTAAGGAATTCTCAGTTGAGGGGAGGAACCAGTAGGTGAGCACAGGGCACCACAGGCCTTGATGAAGGCAGACACCAGGTGCTCTGGGGACCCAGAGGCAAGACCCATTCCCAGGCACAGGAAAGTCCAGGAAGGCTTGTAGGAACAGGTGGCTCCAACAGCTACATGTAACCAAAGGAAATGCAAGGGAACAGATTCCTGTCACAGTGACAGCATGTACTAAATGTCTGAGGTGAGCAAATTTTTGTTCCAGAACTTAGAGAGCAAGAACCATCAAGAGTAAGAGGAGGATAGAAAGCCAAGGAGCTTTGAAGTCAGTTGAAAGTGTGATCGTGTTTGTCATACCAAACTCCTGTCAACTCCAGTAGGGAAGGTACCAGGTGCAAGAGATTGAAGAAGAGACCCAGAGCCAGCAGACTAGACTAGGCTTACCTACAGGGGAGGGAGTCCAGTGGTGGCTGGCTGGGCAGGAGAACTGGAACTGCTTATAAAAAGCATGCAATTAACATAGCATTTTTACTTATCACACTCCCCCCATCAACCTCCACCTGGAAATTTTAATTCATCCCAGGCTCGGGGCCTCAATTCCCTATATAGTCAGTGTTCCACGGGGTGAGATGGGGGCTCAGATGTTCCTCATAGACAAGGAGCCAATCTCCACGTTGGCCACGCCCAGATTCCCTAGCTCAGAACACACATTCAGGTGTGTCTGACAAGAAGGGTCATTCTTGGGGTATGCTTGAGTTATTGCTTTCAGGTGCACTTACTGTTTAAATGCTGATGAGCGAGGGCAAGTAGATGGTGAGGCTGGAGATGAGTGAGATGAGGAGGATGATGGCAAAGGTTCCTGCAGAGGTGGGGAAAGGCAGTACCCACATCCTGAGGACAAAGATCAGCCTTAGACAAGTGTTGAGCTGCCAGGTGTCAAGGTGTGCCTCAGCACAGCAAGCCAAGCTGAAAGTTACAATCAAGTCTGTCTTCCCCCACTGCCATAGTGCAGGCAGGAGGCAAAGGTAGGCACAGCTCTCCAGTTCTTCAGCATACGGAGGTGTTGGTTAAGGGTTGGGTGGATCAGCACACGTAGGGGAGGGAGGTCTCTTTTCCTTGATAAACAGTCCTGAACAAAAGTCTCCAGCCACTCCTGCACCCAGGGAGGGGAAGCATAAGGAAGGAAGGGATAGGAGTAGAAAGGAATGGAGCCAGCATTGAGGAAAGTGCCTCAGCTGGGCCCTGATCAGGAGGCTTCTGCACGGAGGCACCTGGTCTGGGACTGCAGCTATGGCCATGAGCCCAGCTGGCCTGGCAGTGTGGGGCTGAGTCATAAAGCGCAGGTCCCTCCAGAAATGCCAGTGCCCTGGTCACGTACCACGTCTAGGGCGGGGAGGGGAGTTGTCACCTGAGAGGCCTCCCATCGCCTGTGATCAGGCCTGAAGGATCACACATAAGATTTCAGCCAGGAGCAGGAATCCTGGACAGAAGGCTGGAGGGAGGGAAGCCGTGATGATAGCCATGTCTATACCCACCTTCTCTGGGTCTGCCCCTTCACTGGGTAAGTAAAAAGAGAAGCTGGCCATCTTTTCCTCGGGAACATGGGGATTGTTATCTGGTTCATGGACATTGCTATTGTAACAGTTAAACAGGAAAGAAACACGAAAAGCAGCTCAATAGTCAAGGACAGGTTTATTTTGGAGAATAAACTTGAGAGGTGCTTCTGGCCAATTTTGGTCAGGAGCATTCTCTCTTACGGACTAAGGGCATTGAAAGGTTTAGGCAGTGGGGAGCTTATTGCAGGTTCGGAATATTTCTATGTGAGGGAACGTTTATTGCAGTGTTAGAATGTCTCTGGTTGCAGGGGTGGCTATCTCAGGGTTGGAATGTATCTGGTAGGAGGGTTTTATCTTAGGGTTGGAATGTTTCTGGTTATGCTGACATTAACCATTAGGCTGATATTTGGGGGCTGGATTTAGGTGTTTTTTTAATCAAGGGGAACTAAAAAAGGTGGTATTTGTCCAAGATGATGACACTCCTGCTCTGTCAATCTAGTCCCTACAGTTATAAACAGGAAGAGGGGTGGCATGTTCTTTCTGGCTACTTCCTGCTGGGGGTGGGAGGGTCAGAGAGTGATTTGGTCTCAGATTGATTGTAGGAGTAATGCCATCTGTAGAATTTTTGGGTAATTGTGAGATGGCCATGATCCTGTCAGCTAAAAAAATCTTTGAAGAAGGTTGATTAAGCAGGGTAAGCACATTAGTCTTGGGCATATTATTGGCCCAGGAGTGGGACGGTCCATGTTAGGATTTTGTTTCTAAACCCAAGAATTTATTTTGTTGTTTTGGTATTCATTTAGCTTTTTAGCCTTTAATTTTTTCAGCAGCCTCTCTTACTAGGCCCGAATGACTGAGATAGAAGCAACTCAACCAATGAGAGGCAGAGGCCCCCTTTTTCCACTGCCATAAGAATTGATCCCAGTCTATTTTGGAGGACTACTCTAGCCAAGGAGTCTAGTTGGTCTTGGCCTCTTATAAGGCTTGAGCTATATCTTCTAATGAATCCTGTAGCTCTGTTGAAAAGCTTTAAAGAATGTTAAGGAGTTGGCCAATCTGCCTGCTCTTAATCCAACCCCGGAGGTTATACATAAGGCAGCCATTGAAGGAATGACTTGGATGGCCCTCCTTTTTCTAACATATTGGATGGGTGGAACAGGTAAAGACTGATTAGGAGAAACTAGTCCAATGGAGGGAGAAAAATAAACTAGGATGCAGGTTCCGGTCCAGTTGGTGGGAAGACAAAGCTATGTGTTGGTACCACACAAAAACAACAAGCCTTTGTCATAAATATAGGTGGAGATATGGAATGAAAATAAGCAAATTAAAGATGGGGTGTCTTTTCTTTCCTGTGGTTCATTACTCCAGGTGGACAACGAGCAGGCTAGGGAGACCCCACTATGGAAGAGATACAGGAAGAGTTATTTTTTACACCTTGAATGAGCCGTGGAAAAAGGTGGGCACTGGGGGCCACACAAGTTAGGCTGGAGGCATTGGTTGAGGGAAAGGCTATAAAACAAGCAGGTTGCAGAAATTCTCCGTTTGCTTCAGGTGACATTTGGTAGTCAACGTGGTTACTTTGAGGGTCAGAGGGGTGTTTAACAATGATAGTGTGGTTGCATTGGTTAGATGTTAAGGACCCTCCAGGGAAATTTTCCCTTGAGACTGAAAAGCAAAGCGAGGCTTGTTGTAAGAGGGCGGTGTGTTTCGTTATGGGCCCTTCAAAGGGAGGGTCTTAAGGCTTAAGGCGTTGTAGGGAGTTGAAGTAGGTTTGAAATAATTTGTTTGCCCAGCTGGCCCTGGAAGTAAGATAATCGCCTAACAGGGTATCAGTTCCTTCGAAAACAGAAGCTCCTTTTTGGAGTTTATAAGTTAGGGTTATGTTTCCTGTGAAAAGGTGATGAAGGGGTGTAGGAAGGGCCGTGTAGGCTGAGG